ACAGATGGAGAGGTCGGTGGATGGATGGGTGGGTGGGTGGATGGATGAGTGGGTGGGTGGATGGATGGATGGATGGATGGATGGATGAGTGGGTGGATGGATGGCTGGATGGAGAGGTTGGTGGATGGATGAGTGGGTGGATGGATGGATGGATGGATGGATGGATGTAGAGATGAATGGGTGTATGGATGGAGAGGTTGGTGGATGGATGGGTGGGTGGATGGATGGATGAGTGGGTGGGTGGATGGATGGATGGATGGATGGATGGATGGATGGAGAGATGAATGGGTGTATGGATGGAGAGGTTGGTGGATGGATGGGTGGGTGGGTGGATGGAGAGATGGATGGGTGGAGAGATGGAGGGATGGATGAATAGGTGGTTGGGCAGACAAGGAGTTTCATTTCAAAGACTGACACATTCAAAGATTCTCTGAAATGGCACACGCATGGGTTCCCATGATTTGCACACCCTGATTTGCACTTACAGCAGAGACCATCCATCCACCAAGCACACTCTTTCCTGCTCAGGGCAGCCTGTGAGGTGCTGACAAGCACAGCTAGGTTTCACCCACTCAATTCAGTGCAAGGCTTTATCAGGGAAGTTTCCGTTTGCTAAAGCAAGTACTGTGTGGGTGGCACCGGGGTGACAGGGGTGATGGTGACAGCTAGGGCCACCTGGGCTTCAGCTGTCAGAGAGGGCAGAGAGGAAAGGACCTTTTTCTCCCCAGCATCCAAATGCCAAATAACACCAAGTCGGGTTCAAATGAGGAAGAAATGGGATGCTACACAGGGTTCTGCTGGCACACAGCAGGCCTCCTTGGACATTGGTGGTGACTGACGTCACCATTGCCACTCCATGAGATTAATCTCCTGGCACATGCCTGTCAGCAAACAAGTCCTTCCTAAAGGTCCCCTCATCAGCAGAGAAGTCCTTCAAAGTTAAAGGTCCCCTCACCAGCAAAGAAGCCCTTTCTAAAGATTCCCCATGAAAACTCGAGAGTCAACTTGAGCTCTGGAATCCCCCGGGAGACAGGCCACTAGATGTGCCCAGGTGATCTTGATGAGAGTAAGGTGGGAAGATTCACCCACTGTGAGAGGCACCACTCCCTAGGCCGGAATCCTGAACTGTATGAAAAGGAAAAGGCATGTTGAACACAAACGTCTGTCTCTCTCTGCTTCCTGACTGTAGTTTTTTCTGTGATGTGATCAGCCACCTCAAGCTCCTCCCACTTTCACTTTCCCACCGCGGTGGGCGGCACCCTCACGTGGGCCAGAGTAGACCCTTCCTTCCTTAAGTTGCATTTGTTGGGGTGTCTTAGGGCAGCAATGGGGAAAGAACACGATGACAGCAGCCGTCCCTCTTCGGATGACTCGCTCTGAACGGGCTCTAAGCCAGGACACTGACGTGTGTCATTTTACCTAATTCTTAAAAACAATCACTATGAGGTAGGCATTGCTATTATCCTCATTGCTCAGGAAATGAACAAAGTCCCAAAGAAGGGCTCAGTAAACAGGATTGGAACTGGGAATCCTGATTGATTAGTGATGTCTGCTCTGGGAACCGTCAAATCATAATTGTTTATCGGTGCCTGTCACAGGCACAGCAGATGGTAGCACAATGCTCACATACACACAGGCAACAGGTGGCAGAGCCAGGACACATGTTCAGTCCTCACATGTCCCAAAGCCTCTACCCTGTGAGCCACACTCATTGCTTCGGCCTGCCAGGTTTTTGAGCTATTTGAGGATTGAGCCCTGTACAATTTATTGTTCTTTGGGGCTCCTCGGCACTGAGCACAATGCAAAGGCAGCAACAGAGGTCCTCCCTCACAGCTCCTCTGAGAATAAGGAAGGGGAGTTCCATACTGGGGTCCACACTGCTCTATGAGGGAGTCCAGCACATAGTGGGGACTTTATAAATACTTGCTGGGTGAAGAAGTAGATGGTGTGCCTAGAGGACAGCCATCAAGCATTTAGTACAACAAACCCCACAACCACCTGCTGTATCAGAGACACCCATGGTACCCATTTTACAGATGGGCAAACTAAAGCTTAGGGAAGCTAGCATCCTTCTCAGGTACTCATAGCCAGCAAGTGTCTAAGCCAGGATTTAAATGACATCCTGTGTGACTAAATTTCATGTAAATATCAAGAAAACCAACAATTACAGCGCACTTGGGCACACACTGCTCTCAAAGCCCCACTCACCTGCAGATGGGAATGGCTGGCACCAGCTGCTTGGGCCAGCTGGGTGGTACCAGCAGGATGGACTCGGGAGCGGAATTCCTCCTTTCCTCCTGCTCACATGGCCCCAGGAACTCCACAGCAGGGTAGATGTGGCGGGCCAGGCCCGCCTTGGACGGGGCGGTAGACACGGGAGTCGGGTCAGGACTGGTCTTCCATATCTTGGAGGGAACCCCGCAGGGCGAGTCAGTGGCCAAGCTGTTGAGGGCTTCCATGAGAACACCAGAGCCAGCCGTGGGGGGGTACCCAGCGGGGATGCCGTCGTCCTGGGGTGCCACGTGAGGCGAGGGCTGTGGCGAGGGACTCCGGGAGCGCTGGGGTGAGGATGCGGGCAGAGGGGCAACCAAGGCCTCTGCGCACGAATGCCTCCGCTTGGCACCGGGTGAGGAGGAGCGGGATGCCGGACGGGGCACGGGCGAGTGTCGGCCCAGGATGTCCTCGGTGAGGTTGGTTCGAGGTGACATTATTGGAGAGGTTCTGGGGGAATAATGAGCAGTGATGTTTTGAAACTGGGGACACGGGTCGTCGGACCCGGCGTTATTGGGCGAGACGCAGGGCGAGGTGTAGGGGGAGAAGGTGTCAGAAATGAAGCTGGCAGAGGAGCCGCTGCTAGCGGGGCTCAAGCAAAGCGGCTCGCGGTAGGCCTCGAAGCCGGGCACGGGCAGTGTGAACCTCGGGCTGGCAGCCAAGCCGGCCAGGGCCAGGGCCGGCTGCTCGGGGGGCAGGCCGGCATCTCTCCCACGGAGGGCCCCCCCTGCCTGCATCAGTTCGTGGGATGGAGTGATCTCGATCCGAGGGCTCGGGCCCGAAGCCCCTGCTGGCTTGGCCGGACTCAGAAAGTTCTGGAACCCTATCCTATCCGGCTCTCCGAACCGGCCAGGGGACTCGCCAGAGAAACTGGCGAGGGGGTTGACTGGCTTGAGGCCATAGTCCTGGACATCATCCGGGTATGCGAATCCGGAGGGTGAGCTGATGGCCTTATGTGCGTTCTCTTCTTCTGGAAAGAGAAGGGGGAGGGGGGTCTTTAAGCCTCTAAACAGAACTGGGGTACAGAGTTACTGTCACGGGTGGGCATGGTCTTCTGTCACTAGCTGGTCTTAATGCCCCACCATGGCAAACCCTGAGCTTGCCACAAGTAAAGTGAAGCCTCTGTGTCCCAAATTCCCTCAGGAGAGACAGAATGGCAGGCACTGTGACACCAGCTGTATAGCTGGCTGGAATATGGAAGACAAACTGGCCTAGCAGCCTCCACAGTGAGACCTGAAATCACTCCTCAGAAGTGCATTTTAGGGACTGAGAGCTGGTTCACTTGCAAATTGCCAGCCATGGGAGTATGAGAACCCAAGTTTGATCCCTGGACCTTACATAAATCAGGCATGACAGTGCACGTCCATAACCCCAGCACTAGAGAGGCAGGGATGGGGATCCCCAGAGCTCAATGGCCTGGTAGTGCAGCCAAATCAACAAACTACAGGTTCCGGGGGAGACCCTGTCGTAAGAAATAAGGCGACCATTTGAGGAAGACATCAATATCTGGCCTCCATATGCATGTACACATATGTACGGGCACACCCATGTACACCGTGCACACCTACATGAATGTGTCTCTGCACACAGGCACAGTGAACGTTGTTAAAGTGAATTGGGTATCTCCCATTGCTCACAGCAGCACAGACCCGCAACTGAACTGGGGCTGCGATGACCTCGTCATGTCACATGTATGATGCGACCAAGACGTGTATGACGCAGAAGGCAACAGGGCCTCTAGGGTCCATGGAGTCTGTGTTTGTCTGAGATGTCCGCACCCAAGTGTGAGAGGCTTTCTAGAACCAGGGTCTCCTGCTCCTTCATATCCCTTTATAGATGTGGCCCAGTCCCCAAATTCCTTCAGAGGAGCCACTTGAACAGCAAAAGTCAGGATCACAGCTACAGGGTCCCTAAACTGTTAATAGGAGGGAATACAGAGCGACCTAAACACCTCTTTAGCATCAGGGGCCATCTTGGGTTTCTGCTGGCCCATCTCAAGGGCCCACCGGTGACGAGAGTGTCACTCCGGCAGATCACGTGGCCCAGTCTCCTCACTCTGTCCCTTGATCTCCAAGCCTGACCCTTTACATTCCCCACTAGGGAATCCTGCAGAGCCACCAAGGGATGGCAGTCCCCACTGCCCCTCACTGACGCTTCCTCCAAGCCTCCCCCTTCTCTCTCAGTAGCAGGGTCAGTTTGGCTCCTCCACTCTCATGCCTTCTAACCCAGCCACCAATAAACCTTGACCTCTGACCTGCCAACACACAGCCTCAGTATTCCCTGCCATGCACGTCCATCTTGAGCCAAGCCCCCCTTCTACTTCAGTCTCACCAAGTCCCCTCTGTCCAATGTCCACTCTAGAAACTGCCCTTCAGTGTTTCCTCTGGCCCTTTAGATAGGGCCTGGGGTCATCGTGGGCCAGTCTGTCCCTGTCGCCAGCTGGTCTCATCACTCCACCTGTGCCCAATGCCCCCCAAACAGCTCAGCACGGGCCCCACGGACCTCTTTTCCAGAACTAGCCACTCAGAGTCCTTGAGAGAGCTGCCTCCTCTCCCTTCAAGGTCTTCCTAGTAATGTTTCCCTTGTTCTGTGTATCTGCACAACCGGCACCTCAACAGACCACCCTCCAAAAGATTGTCTCCGGCCTCTGCTCTGCCCTTTCTCCTTCGTACCCACTGCTGGCTCCCAACGCTTCAGATACATACGTGTTTAGTGAACCTGTCCTGCTAAACCCGGGCCACGCAAAACACACCCCAAGGGCCCACATTTTGTCTGCTGATCAAGCAACCATGTCTATTCGCATAGGGCCTAGCTAGGGCTTGCCTCTTCACCAGAACAGCAGAGCTGAGAGCTTTGGCAGGGTCTATATGAACCACAAATCTTAAAATATTTACTCTCTGGCCCTTTATGGAAGATGGTACTTCTCTTGACTCTAAGCTCTGCCGAGGTCGGGTCCACATCGCACTGTGGGTTAGTATTGTTTGCCCGGCACCCGCCACTGCACCTGGTGCTTACAGGCCTCCACACGTGTGCGAAGAGACTGAATAAATAAAAGAATCATGCCCAGGGTCCCGCAAGCCAGGAGTGCAGTCTCCTGCTCTGGGGAGCTAGGGTAGCCACCCTGGTGACCCTTGGCATTTCTGGGCCTTTTCTGGGACACAACAGAGGAAGTGTATTCCAACTTAGTTGAACTGACCTCAAAATGCCCAGATGGTACGCCCATTACAGATGAGTGCTCCCATCCCGGAGGAGTGCTCCCATTCCAAATAAGTGCTCCCAAAGGGCTGCCCACCACTAATAACATGAGGACTTGAGCCAGCATGGCTGGGGTCTGTCTGTTCTCCCTTAACCTCTCCTCTATTGGGGCTCCAGGCTAGGCAGGGTTTGGAAGAGAGCACCTGCTTTCTTCTGGCCTCAGGACTTTGCAGTTTGCTGTCCCCTCTGCTTCAACAGCTCCATTCACTCATCCCTGTGGCACTAAACCCCACCCATGCCTGCAGGCTCTGCTACTGTCCCTATGCTCCCACAGCTCACTCTTCCCAGGGGTGCCCGCTCTAACCCCATATGTCTCCCAGTTCTGAGGAAGTAACTGTGGCATCGGCTACTGACCAGTAAATCTGCTGGTCTTCTAATCAGAGATGCCATGAGGTGCACCGAGCCTCCACTACCCGAATGGGAGCTGGTACACGGTGGGCCCTCGGCAGAGAAGAATGCATCCCCATAAAAGCCACCCAGGACACTGACGGCACTCCTCCAAAATGTCACTGCCCGACCCACGAGGCAGAGGATGTCATCTCTAGGGAGTGGTGACTGGGTAGGTAGCAGCCATCAAAATCCCAGATGCCTCCCAGAGTCCTTAACACCATTCTCGAAACTGCGTCCTATGTGGACACTCCTATCTGTGGGAGAGGGATAAGAGGTAGGTTAGTGTCTGCAGCTCTGGGGCTGGGGGAGGCTCTGGCTCATTCCAACAGTGACCAGGAAAAGTCCTCCTGCACCAAACAGCAGTGACATTTAGTACTGAAGAAAGAGCAAGGTGAACATAAGGTGGGGAGGGGCACGTCTCTGGTGGGGTGTGCACACGCAGAAGCCAGAGGAGGACATCAGGTATCGCCCTCCACATTGTTCCCTTTGCGACAGGTTCTCCCACTGAACTTTGAACTCAACTGGTGGCCACCAAGCCCCAGTGATACTCCTATCTCTACCAAGCATCACTGAGGTTGCAGGAGCGTGTAGCCGTACCCTGCTCTTTTATGTGGGTACTGGGATCCGAACTCGGGTCCTCACGCTTACCTACTGAGCCATCTCCCCAGCCCTGCAAAAAGGAAAGTTTTTGATTTCTGTATTATGCAGAGAAAACAAACTTAAATTTCCCAAACATAATTAGCTTCCGTGGAGCAGGTGGCAGGAGGTAGGGGTGACATGGAACAAAGCACGTGACAATGAAACTCTGCTGACACGGAGGGAAACAGAACCTAGCCCTGCTCTGCCACTAAATGGCTAGTGGCAGAAGAAAAGTCCCCACCCACTCCAGGCCCCACGGCCTCGCTTAGAACGGGGGGAAAAGCACGTCTGACTCCTTCACGGCTTTGATTCCTCTAGCTTGGGTCTGCAGGGGCAGAGTTCATGCAGCGCACAGTCAGGGTGAAGGTGCATCTGAACCTGAACTGGCGCTGTGTGTGCACACGCACACCCCTTCCTGGCAGACAGTACACAGTACAGATAGATGTCTAACCTAGGGGCCAATTGGCATCAAATCCATGTTCAACGATGTTCTGAGAGCCCATTCCCTACAAGCCGACAAAACCGGTCCTGCACAGAGATCCCGGTCATATTAGAACTCTCTGCCTCAAAAACACAGCTGTGAACAATCCAGAACAAGAGCCGGCGTGGACACACATCATGGGGTATGGTAGTGCCCATAATCCTAGCACTCGAAGGCTGAGGCAGGAGAAATACTGTGAGTCCAGAGACAACCTGTTCTACAGAGTAGGATCTTGTCTCAAGAAACCAACCCAAACACACACACACACACACACGCACACACGCACACACGCACACACACACTGCCTAGGAGCTCTGAGGAGCAATTGGCCACGCTGAGCCTAGTATCGCAGTGTTTACACTGGTTTAATCCATCCTGGCGGCAATTTCCTTCCCGCCCCCCTTCTTTTCTCTCCCCAAGTCTATAAATGTTTAACAGCAAGCACGGGCGTGAGGGTAATGAATAGCCTTTGCCTTCTCTGGGATTCGACAGCAAATCTCACAAACGACAAGTCATTAACATCTTTCTGTGAGTGGCTGGGACCCCCACTCTTGGGCTCTTTGGAACAGCCCATGTGCCTGGCTGGGTCTCACGGCTCTCTCCTGCCCAGCGCCCAGATGGAAGCCAGTGTATCTCAGAACCACACCTTGCTGCCAATTTTCTCAGGAGGGTTTCCATAAACTTCTTTGCATGATCTTGGTTGTAGGTGGCATTGTCAATATGTATTATGTACTTACTATGTTTACTCAACTCTGCTCTGTTTTTAACACGTAGTGCGTGAGTGTGTGTGTGTGTGTGTGTGTGTGTGAATGCGCGTGCAGGTGTTCACAGAGGCCAGAAGGAGGGCATCAGAGCTCTCTGAAGCTGGAGTTAGAAATGGTTGTGAGCTAGCTGACATGAATGCCCTGGACCTCTGAAAGAACAGCATGTGTTCTTAACCACTGAGCCATCCATCCAAACCCACGTCACAACTTTTATTTTGAAAAGAATGTTCGCACCACTCTGGGAGGCTGAGGCAGGGGCATCACCTAGTTCAGGGCCTGCCTGAACTATAGAATGAGTTCAAGGCAGGTATGGACAATTTAATGAGACCCTATGTCAAAAGAGAGCTGGGGGGGGGGGGGGTCTGGCTCAGAGATGGATCACTTGCCCAGCATATGTGAGGCTGTTTAGTCTGTAGTACTGAGTACCCGGCCCCCAAAAGG